CGCGGCGCCGGCCAGAAGTATGTGCTTCTTGTTGCCAGGGAGCTCCAGAGTCAGGGGAGTATCCAAGTTAACACCCAAGTTGAGCATGGTAAATTTTTTTTTATCAAAGGGGAAGGTTTGATCAGCTCTGTTGGTGTAATCTTACCCTCACTTCCTTTCTTCCAAGGTGACCAATGTCTGGGCGCTCGCCCCAGTGGGTACACTGTTCATCCAAGGCGCCCCAAGGACCACACAGAGGATCTGTGCAGTCCTCAGTGTGAGCACAATTCCCACAACAATGACCTACCCCAGGCAGTTAGGGAGCCCTGTGCATGTGGAGCCGCCCATAGCAACTGCCCAGAGACCCAGCCACACCCTGCACCCTCCCTCACAACCATAGTATTTTCACAGTCCCAGCACAGAAGACTCCCACAGTCACTCTGCAAAGTGACACAGGATCCATTCTGCCCTGCCAATCCGTCCCATCCCACAGAGAGGCAGAGATGCTCTCAGCCAGCTGTGTGGGTGCTCTGCATAGGCAGCCTAAGCCCCAGAGCCTGTGACGTGCTGGGAGGCTGGGGGCACCTCACAGTCCTATGTGGATGCCCAGCCCCTTGTCAGTCCTCTGAACCAGACTCAGGTGGCTTCTCTCTGCTGGTTGCTGGGTGCTTGGACACAAGCTGATGCAGCTATAACATATATCCAAAATGGTGCCTACCCTGTCTCAGCTAGTTGCAAGGTGCCATTGTTGAGGTGTTGGGAAGAGTGAAATGTGCCGTCCTTTCTCCTCTAGGTTAGCAGGTACACTGTCCCTTACAGGCTCCAGGCTGGACTCACGTCAGGCTTTCCCTGCAGCTTTGTCACTAGTGGTTTGGACTGCTACAGTCTGTTCTCACCTCACTCTCCAAAGCTGGTGCTGAGGTTGGCTGCTGGAGTTTATGTTGTGTCTGTGCTTATACTGTGTGTCCACACTGTCCATGTAGATCCACAACGTCCCTTTAACTTACGTGGAGTTTCCACTATAGTTTTCTCCCTAACTCTTCCCTGAGATTGTACTCTCTCCACTTTTTATTTTTTTTAAACTATCTTCCCCTAGACTAGAGCAGCAGTAAGCTCCCTCTGTATTTCACCATCTTGGAATCTTTTGCTTCATACATCTTAAAGTACTTGGTAGTTTCGTTGTGATTTATTTCTGACCCATTGGTCATTTAGGAGTGTGTTGCATTCACTTATTTGTCAATTTTCTAAATATACATTTGGTTGATTTATAGTGTTGTTAAAATATTCTGTTTCCTGCTTATCTTTCTCTTTCTATATGACTTAAAACACAAATGCATAAAGCCTGGTACTTTGTCAGGCTTAGAATATGTGAATACGTAGTTGTTTCATATTATTGTTGAGTTTCTCTTTTTTTTTTTCTTCCAGTTTTTGTTCATGTATGTTAAGGCTCTGCTGTTTTAGGTATATATAACAATATTCTCTTGGACTTTTACCATTGTAAAACATTCTTTGTTGTATTAAATTTTATTTTAAATTATATTTTGGATATTATTGTAGCTACTCTGTGTGCCTTTTACTTACTATTTACATGGTGTACCTTTTTTTAAAAACTCTTTTACTTTCAGCCTATTTGTATTTTTGAATATAAAGTGTGTATTGTGTAAACAGCATATAGTTGAATTATACTTTTTTCCATCATTCATTCTACCAATCTGCCATTTGAAGCATGTAATCCATTTACATTTAATGTAATTACTGATAGGTGGAATTTACTTCCACCAGTTTGTTGTTTTCTGTATGTTTATGCCTTTTTTCTTTTAAAGATTGATTGATTTATTTGAAATTCAGAGTTACACAGAGAGAGGAGAGGCAGAGAGAGAGAGAGAGAGAGAAAGGTCTTCCATCTGATGGTTCACTCCCCAGATGGCCGCAATGGCCAGAGCTGTGCTGTTTAGAAGCCAGGAGCCAGGAGCATCTTCTGGGTGTCCCATGAGGGTGCAGGGGCCCAAGGACTTGGGGCATCTTCTACTGCTTTCCCAGGCCATACCAGAGAGCTGGATTGGAAAAGGAGCAGCCGGGACTAGAACCAGCACCCATATGGGATGCTGGCGCTTCAGGCCAGGGCTTTAACCTGCTGCGCCACAGTGCTGGCCCCTTCAGTTTGTCAATATGATGTATCACACTGATTGATTTGCAAATGTTGAATTATCCTTGCATACCAGGGATAAATCCCACTTGGTCCAGGTGAATGATCTGTGCTGTGCCACAGCGCTGGCCCCTCACCTGAATTTTTAAAAAAGATTAATTTTTATTTATTTGAATGAGTTACACAGAGAGGTAGACACAGAGAGAAAAAGAGGTCTTCCATCTGCTGGTTCACTCCCCAAATGGCTGCAATGCCCGGAGCTGAGCTGACCCAAAGCCAGGAGCCAGGAGCTTCTTCAGGGTCTCCCATGTGGGTGCAGGTGCCCAAGCACTTGGACCCATCCTCTGTTGCTTTCCCAGGCACATTAGCAGGGAGCTAGATTGGAGGCAGAGCAGGTGGGACTAGAACCAGCACCCATATGGGTTGCCAACACTACAAGTCGGGGCTTTAACCCACTGGGCCACAGTGCTGGCCTTTCATTTGAATTTTTTTCTGGCATCGTTTTTCAGACTGGAGGAATTCTGTTAGTATTTCTTATACAGAAAGTCTATGAGTGATAAATTCTCTCAATTTTGTTTATCCAGGGAAGTCTTAATTTCTCTTTCATTTTTGAAGGGTAGTTTTGCTGACTATAAAATTTTTTTTATCAGTTCCTTAGCACTTTAAATATTTGAGCCTATGACCTTCTGGACTTCATGACTTCTGATTAGAAATTCTGTTAATATTATTAAGGATCCGTAGTTTATACAGTGAGTTGCTTCTCCCTTGCCACTTTCAAGACAGTTTTGACAGTTTGATTATGATGTATCTAGGTGTTGTTCTCTTAGAGTTTATCCTACTTGGAGTTTGTTGAATTTTTGGATGTTAATGATAATTTCCTCAAAATTTGGTAGTTGCAGCTATTAGTTTTTCAAATATTCCCTCTGTACTTTCTTTATTCTCATCATAAAATTCCTATTATGTGAATGTTGGTGTGCTTGATGGTTTCTCATATGTTCTGAAGACTCTTAATTTCCTTTGCTATTTTTTTCTGTAATTGAATTGAGTTCTGTAATTATATCTTTAAGTTCATAGATTCTTTCTTTTGATTGCTCAAATATGTTGTTGAGTCCCTTTAGTGAATTCTTCATTTTTAATTACTGTGCTTTTCAAATATCAAATTTCAATTTTTAAATAGTTTATCTTTATTGATATCCCACTTGATGAGTCATTGTTTTCACACTTTAGTTGTTTGAATATAGTTTTCTTTAGCTCTTTGAACATATTTAAAATAGTGACTTAATTATTTCTATTAAATACAGTGTTTAGTCTTCTTCAGAAGCAGTTCCTATTAGTTGCCTTTTTCTTCCTTATGTGCCATACTTTCTTCTTATCTTCTTCCTGTTCTTGTTCTTCTTTCTCCTCCTCCTTCTCTTTTTTCTTCTCCCCCTCTCCTCTCTCCTCCTCCCTTTTTTGCATGCCTTATTTTTTTATTTTGGTTGTTACTGTTGAAAACTGGACATTGAAAATTGTCGCTCCCCCTCTTCGTGGAGGAGCAACACAGGACCCTGCGCTGTTCTTTCGTCTGCTCGGCCCTCCCTGGGTTTGCTGCTGGTTCTTCCCGGGTTGGCTACTATCCCTTCCACCTCCGTGGAAGGGCAGTTCCCCCTGGCCACATTCCCCACTTCCGCAGGGGAGCGGCACACCGCAGGCCGGCTTTCTTGGGGGCTGCACAGGTGTTCCCTCAGATGTTCCCCTTAGATGTTCCCGGTGCATGCCGTCTCTCTCCTCCTTTATAGTCCTCCTCCGCCAATCCCAACTCGGCTGCCCACACGCCGAGTACGCTGCTCTCCTCCAATCAGTAGCAAGTCCTACAGTTTATTGGTTGAACTGGAGGCAGCTGTGCGGAAGCTGTTTACTTCTCTCCCAGCACCATATTGTGGGAGAGCAGATGCATAGAATAAGTCTTAATTCCAGTAACTCAGTCTAGTCCGGTTTGCTCCCCACAGAAAATAATGCGACATCACTGGAAATAAGATTGTCCCCTGTTTTGGTTCATTACTGTTTCTGCTTATCTTAGTTGTTATTGTGTGTTTTGTGACTTTTCTAGGCTAATTTTGTTTATAGTCTTTGCCGTTTAATAGTCTTTGCCGTGAGTACTACTGAACTCTCTACTTGATTAGCTTTGTATTCACCTAATGTTTGAACAGAGATTTCCTTAAATGTCTGGAATCAATATATCTTTCAGTTCTTGCAAAGTACTCTATGTGTATATAAAGGCATGCCTTCAACAGTCAGCCAGGCAGTTGACAACTCTGCTGTAGCTTTCAATTTCTGCTTTTGCAATCCCTCAAGAACCTCCAGTGTCGAGAGTTAGGCTCTTCTCAGGTCTTTCCTGAGCTTGTGTAGAGCCCTACACACATAGGCAGTCATCCATATTTCTAGGCATATGTCAAAAGTTTTGCATGTATCACTTCCTAACCTTCCTTTTAAGGTTTTTGGTTGTTCTTTTGTTTATGTTTACTGTTAGTTTCTGTTTTAGATTGCTGCCAAATTAAAATACTTTACTTGTAATTGTTTTTGACAAATGTTGCCACCACCACCCTGCTCTGCTCCCCATGCACCACAAGTTAAGTCTTATTGAGTGAGCTCTCAGGTTGAATATAGTCAGCCTTGTGAGTTGAATTTTTCTTGTAAATTTTTTGAAGAAATTGAAATAATCTCTAATATCAAAAACATCTGAATTAAATGCTTATCCAAAATTTCTTCCTCATATACTTGCCAATAATGACAATCTATGATTGCTAATAAGACTCAAATTTCCTTGAAATGGTTTATTGAATTCTTTATTAATAATGTTTTATTTAATAATGTATTCTTTTTTATTCTTGGGTAGGTATATACAGTGAGGACACCAACAAAACTTAAAATACAGGAAAGAGAAAACAGGAATATACCTGCTGAAGAAAATACTAAAAAGAGAAAAGCAGTCTATGAATTTGATGTTAATTCAGACAGTTCGGAAACTACTGATCTTTTGGTAAAGATGTTACAAATAATGAATATTTATTATTTGTTTTTATTATCTACTATTTGTCTATATTGTTTCTTAGTGTATATGTATAGTATATAGATAGAACATAACCATTGCAATACTAAAATATAGTAAAGCTCTACTATAATACAAAGCCTTTTGCTTTTGTAGCATTTCAGAGAAATTAGGGTTAAATAATTTCCCTTAAAATTTCAGAAAACAGCATTGCCAAAGCAATCTATATGTCATAATTAACATTTTTAAAGACTTATTTATTTGAAAGAGTTAACATAGAGAGAGAAGGAGAGGCAAAGAGAGAGAGAGAGGTCTTCATCTGCTGGTTCACTCCCCAAATGGCCGCAATGGCTGGAGCTGTGCTGATCCAAAGCCAGGAGCCAGGAGCTTCCTCTGGGTCTTCCCACATGGGTGCAGGGGCCCAAGGACTTGGGCCATCTTCCACTGCTTTCCCAGGCCATAGCAGAGAGCTGGATCAGAGTGGAGCAGCTGGGATTTGAACTGGAGCCCATATGGAATGCCAGCACTGAAAGTGTCGGCTTTTCCTGTTATGCCACAGCTCTGGCACCGACATTGGAGATAATGAATCATTATCTTGTTTTCTAGCAAACAAGGGAGTTTTTACCAGATTTAAAAAAAAAAAAGATTTATTTGAAAGGCATAGTTACACACACACACACACACACACACACACAGAGACACTAGTTAAAGTCCTGTCTGTACCACTTCTTTTTTTTTTTTTTTTTTCTGACAGGCAGAGTTAGACAGTGAGAGAGAGAGAGATAGAGAGAAAGGACTTCCTTTTTCTGTTGGGTCACCCCCAGGTGCTTCCTCCTGGTCTCCCATGCGGGTGCAGGGCCCAAGGATCTGGGCCATCCTCCACTGCACTCCCTGGCCACAGCAGAGAGCTGGACTGCAAGAGGAGCAACCAGGACAGAATCCGGCACCCCGACCAGGACTAGAACCCTGGGTGCCGGCGCGGAAGGTGGAGGATTAGCCTAGTGAGCTGTGGCGCCGGCCCCTGGCTGTACCACTTCTGATCCAACTCCCTGCCACTGCAGCTGGGAAAACAGCAGAGAACTTCCCAGGTGCTTGAACACCTGCACCAGTGTGGGAGACCCAGAGAAAACTCCTGACTCCTGGCTTTGGTCTGATCCACCCCAGCCATTGCAACCATTTGGAGAGTGAACCAATGGGTGGAAGACCTCTCTCTTTGTCTCTCTCTCTCCATGTAGGTCCACTGTGTCCCTCTAATTTGCACGGAGTTTGTAATTTGCATGGAGTTTCTCTGCTGTTTTTTCCCCAACTCTTCCCTGAGACTACACTCTCTCCACTTCTTTTAAACTATCTTCTAGACTAGAGCGATAAGCTCCCTCCCTGCTCTGCCATCTTAATCCCTCCCAATAAGTGCCAATAGCATGTTCTAAGAGTTATTTTCCTCTAGCATTTTGTATAACTAATTATTTACTCTCTTCACACATTTCAGTATATTCTAAAGGCATAATAATGTTTTTTTGAGATTAACTAATATTCATTTAATTTAGAGGATAAACCTTACCAAACTAAATGGAGCAATGTACAAAAAATTCTTAATGATGAAATTCCAGTTAAAGGCATATGCTTAATTATTTTCACTTATAAGATCTTTAAAATTTTCTGTTACTTTGAGACCCTCTTTTGTTAGCTTTCTGGAATAATAAGCAGTTGAAGTGTAAAAACTGTAATTGTTGAAATTAACTTATAGAATTTCTTTGTTGTATAGATAATGATTAACATCTTAACAAAACTTTGAACTTTACATAAATTCAGTTATTTATAACTAGTCTATACAGTATAAGTAGAGATAACGTTGCTTCCAATTTACAGATAAGAAACTGAGTCACACAAGATAACTTAGCTAGTTAAATCAACCACATTTGAAGACAATCTGGCTCCATAGCCTGTGTCATTTTACATAATAATTGCTAATTCAGATTGCAGATCAGATATATTAAAGTAGAATGAGAGTTAATAGAAAGAACATAAACTTTGGAATTAAACATTCCAAGGTTATAATTCCTGCTGTTTTTCTCATATCATGAATTTAGGCCAGTTTCTTGGTTGATCTGAGGCTTAAAATTTTTTGAAATGATTTCATCCTAATTTTTAAAAGAACGTTACCCTTTGTAGCACAATAAGCATAGTGGATTCATATATTGAAAGAGCTAAAAGAAGAAAAGTGCAACTGAGAATTCTTAAAAAAAAGATTTATTTTTATTTATTTGAAAGGCAGCATGAGAGACCTAGATGGAGAGACACAGAAAAAGATCTACCATCTGCTGGTTCACTCCCCAAATGGCTGTAATGGCCAGGGTTGGGCCAGGTGAAGCCAGAAGCCTGGCACCCCAACCAGGTCTCTTCATGTGGGTGGCAGGGGCCCAGATACTTGGGTCACCTTCTGCAGTTTTCCCAGGTGAAGTAGTTGGGAGCTGTATTGGAAGTAGAGCAGCTGGGACTCAAAGCCACCCTCTGATATGGGATGCTGGCTTTGCAGGTGGTGGCTTAACATATTGGGCCACAGTATCAGCCCCTTAATGAGAATTCTGTATCAAGGAAAACTGTCTTTCAAAAATGAGGTAGAATTTGAGATATCATTAGATAAATAAAAGCTGGTAGAGTATATAATACCACTAGGTCTGCTCTTCAGGAAATGCTAAAAGGGAGTCCTTTTGATTGAAAGGATATTAGTAACTCAAAGATGTTTGAATAAATATCTCTGATAAAAATAAATACATGTCAGTTAATAAAAGCTGCTATTATAATTTTAATTTGTAACATTTTTACATTTTTATTTTCTACATGATTTTAGAGATATGCATAAAAATTTGGGCACAAAATGTATAAAGACATACTTTGTGAAATAAATAATGGAAAGGAAGGATGGAGCCATGTAGAAACAGAGGCTTTGTAGACTATTGAGCTTAAGTTGGTATAAATTCAAATCTGACTATCCTAACATTAGGATGTTAAATATAATCTCCATGATAACCACAGTGAAATTATATAATACAAAATGAAATCAGAATGGAATCAAAATGTTTAAGTAGAAAAGTCATCTAAGTACAAAAGGAGGCAGTATGAAGTAATTGGGGAATGGAGGCGTACTGAAAACAAATAGCAAAATGGAAGAATTAAGTCCCTTCTTATCAATAATTACTTTAAATGTAAATGGATTATACTCTGCAAACAAAACTCCTAGGTTGACAGTATAGACTTAAAGAACATGATCCAGGGTGCTAGTGCTTAGGATGCCAGCTAAGACTCTTGCTTCTCAAATCAGAGTGCCTGGGTTCAAGTCTTGGAAATGCCCTTGTTTTCAACTTGAATGCCTAAATTTAAAAAGATATCAAAATCACTTAGTGCTAAAAAATTGAATCCAATAACATATCAAAGGGATTATTTACCATAATTTAGTGAGATTTATCCCAGGATTGTCTGAGTGGTTCACCATGCTAAAAATTATTTAATGCAATAAATAATAAATAAATAATGAAGACAAGAAAGCCACACAATAATCTCAACATAGAAAAGGCTTTTGACGAAATCCAACACCCTTTGATGATAGAAAAACTCAGAAACTTAGAATGAAAATTCCTTAACACAATAACAGGTATTTATGAAAACTCCCACCTAACATTGTACTCAATGGTGAAAGACAGCTTTATCCTTAAGAGTTAGGATGAAACAGGATGCCCTTCTCTGTTGCTATTCAATATTGTACTGGAAATTCTAACTAGAACTAGTAGATAACAAAAAGAAACAGAAAGCATGTAAATGCAAAGAAAGGAGTAAAATAACTGTTTCCACACATGAAATGATTGTATAGAAAATTGCTCAGATCCTACTTTCTTGTAGATTCCACTTTCTTATAACTCCACTAGAGCTAATAAATGATTTCAGAAAAAATTGCAGAAAACAAGATCAATGCACAAGTTATGTTTCTATACACTAGCAATGAACAGTACAAAAAAGGAATTTAGAAAGCAATTTTTTATAATAACATCTAAAAGATTTAAATACTTTGAACAAATCTATAACTAAGGAAGGAAAAGACTTGTATCCTAAAAATTATAAAACACTGGAGAAAGAATGAAAGATGGCCTAAATAAATAGGAAAACATGTTCATGGATAGGAAGACTTAATATTTATTTTTAAGATTTATTTATTTGAAAGGCCAGCTGACAGAGAGAGGGAAATACAGACATCTACTGATTCACTCCCCAAATGGCCACAATGGCTAGGGCTAAGCCAGGCCCAAAGCCAGGTGCTGGGAGCTTCTTCCAGGTCTTCCATGTTGGTAGTGGGGGCCCAAGTACTTGGGTCACCCTTGGCTGCCTTTTCAGGCACATTAACAGGAAACTGGATCGCAAGTGGAGCAGCTGGGACATGAACTGGCGCCCATATGGGATGCCAGTGTTGCAGGTGGCAGCTTTTACCTGCTATGCCATAAGCCACCAAGCCAGCCCCTAAATTACTTTTCTAAGCTGGTCAACTGGTGCATACTGGTTGTATGCATATCTGTAAAGACAGAAATGCTTTATTTATTGAACTTTGTGGAAAATCTGTTTGAATATTCTATCCATGAAGCCTCTGAAGTTTTTGTTAAGGGTAGCTTTAATAAAATGAAAAAGGTTATGTGACTGCTTATCTGAGTAAATTGTACAGCAAATTCATTAAGAAAACAGATTCTGGAGCCAGAATTCTGGAGTTCCACCTCTTATAAACTGTATAATCAAGGGAAAATTACTGAATTCCCCTTAAAATGGGGATAATAGTATACCTAGTATACCTACTTCATAAAATTGATGTGAGGATTAAAACTAATTAAAATATTGCCCAGAAATAGTAATAAATATGTGTTAACTATTATTTAGGGGATCTATAATTTCATAAATCAATAACTGACATTATGCTTTTTTATTTTGACAAAGTACATATAAAATTTACCATCTTAGCCATTTTAACTGCATAGTTCAGTATTATTAAATACATTCATACTATGTAATTATCACCACCAGTTCACCTCCATAAAACTCTTTTCATCTGACAAAACAGAAATATTATAGCCATTAGATAATAATTCAGCATTCTGTCTCCCCTCTAATCCCTGGCAACCACCATGCTACTTTCTATAATTGCTCTAAGTATCACATATAAGTAGGATCATATATTTTTTGTGTGATTGGCTTTTTTCACTGAGTGTGTCTTTAAGGTTCACCCAAGTTGTAGTACATATCAGATTTTCCTTCCTTTTTAAGGCTAAATAATACTCCATTATTTATATATACAACATTTTTTATCCATTCATCTATTGGTAGGCTCTTTTTTTTTAAAAAAAATATTTATTTATTTATTTATTTGGGAGGCAGAGTTACAGAGGGAGGGAGAGACAGGGAGAGAGAACTCTTCCATCCTCTGGCTCACTCTCTAAATGGCCACAACGGCCTGAGCTGGGCTGATTCAAAGCCAGGAGCCTCTTCTGGATCTCCCATGCAGGTACAGGGCCCTAAGCACTTGGGCCATCTTCTACTGCTTTCCCAAGCCATCAACAGGGAGCTTGATTGAAAATGGAGCAGTTGGGACCTGACCTGGTGCCCAAATGGGATGCTGGCACTGCAGTTGGAGGCTTAACCTAACTATGCCACAGTGCTGGCCCCTGTTGGTAGACTCTTGGTTCCTTCCACATTTTAGCTAATGTGAATAATGCTTCTGTGAACATGGATGTTCAACGATCTCTTCAACACCCTGCTTTCAATAATTTTGGGTGTATCACCTCTTGGCCTTTTGGCCAAGATCAAGTGCAATTATTTTGGGTGTATACCTAGAAATGGAATTGCTGGATCATAGACAATATAAATCTATAGGATTATAAGTACTTATTATAATGTCTAATAAGTTTGAGTAAGCAGGATGAAGGGGAAGGAAATAAAGTGGTAGTGTAATAACACTCTGAAATAGAAATCAGTAGAAAAATGCTACACATATGCATCTTGTATTTTACATATAATAGAATAAAAATCTAGATCCTGCTTGATTTGAGGCTTAACATACTAAAGGATTTAGATTGAGCTTATATTTTGTTGTTGTTTTCTTTCTTTCTTCTCTTTTTTCTTTCTCTTTTTCTCTCCCTTTCCTTCTTCATCCTTTCTACCTATTCTCTTCTTCTCCTTATTCTACATTTTGTCATTTTATGTGATAAAACATTTTAGAGATATTAGTGTCATAGCCCAACATTATACTTTTGTATTTTTCTTTTAAGAGCATGGTTTCAGAGGAAGAGGCATCAAAAAAACTGCACAAGAAAACTAATTCATCAGCTCATTTTTATACCAGAACACCAAAAAAGGTAGCTTTTGAATTTCATTTCAGAAAACAAATTTTGAAAGCTTGACTGTCTTTTGAAATAAATTTATTTCTTGCAAGTTTACCAAACCCTCTTATGAGTTCCAGTAGTCTCTTAGTGGAATCTTTTGGTTCCACTATATTTAGAATCGTCACCTGCAAACAGGGATAATTGACTTTCTCCTTTCCAATTTGAAAAAAGCAAAAACAAAAACAAGTTATATTATGAAGTTATATTGAAGTTATATTATGATTTTATTTTCTTTTGTATTCAGACCCCTTCATATCCAACAAACCCTGGATCTACACTGAAGTTTGGAGCTATGAGAAAAATACAAGAGGACCGTTGGGCTATGCTTGCTAAAACAGATAGGCGAAGAAAACTAAAAGAAGCAGAAAAGCTGTTTGTTTAATTTCAGAAAATCACTGTATTAAGGTACCCAATAACTTCAAAGTTAGAGTTAATTTTTTCTTATTATTTTCCTATGAGCTAAACTTAATATTGTCATTGAGACTTTAAAATATTTGCGTAAAATTTTTTCTTTGAATTTTTGCCCAAGTGTTAAATATCTAGATAGTACCTAAAAATTTATAATTATGTTTTGATATTTCGATGATTGCATTTTGTTGTTACCTTTTTGTACCTATGAAAATTGTTTTCAAATTCTTAAAGTTAGCCTTTGAATGCTAGAAATGTTTTATTGAGATTTCTTCTTTATTCTTTACCATTAAAACGTTTTAGATGCAAATAAGTGTTTCTTATTTGTTCCGTAAGTTCAGCTGAAAAGCTAATCATACTTTTGAGAGTGTTACTGATCTTCAAAATATTGAAAGCACTTAAGTGGATTTTTATACTTCTTAAGTAGCTTTGATTTTCTATTTATGAAATTGACAGATGGCTTTTATTGGCAGGAAAAAAAAGGCTATACCAGTATAAGTTCTTGAAATACTTAATTTTTCCACATTCATGAAGCAAATACTTATTGAGTGTCTACTAAGAATTAAACATGGATCTAGATGCAGAGAGCTGACACTGAACAAAACAGAAAAATAAACTCTCTCATTTCCTGGAGATTAATTCTAGTGAGGGGGAATAGACAACACAATAAATAACCAAAACTAATAGTATATTACTTAATGATAACTGCTAAGGGGAAAAATAAAACAGAAAAGTATTAGAGAATACGAAGGGAGTTGAAATTTTACAGATGGTAGCTTTCATGGAAGTGACATTTGAGTGAAGATCTGATGAAATATGAATCTCAATCTATCTAGGGAAAGAATTTCCTTGGCAGAAGGAACAGGAAGTATAAAGGCCTGGAGGTGAAGGTATGCCTAGAGTATCAAGGAAGGGGCAGAGAGGCTAGTGAGACTCAAGGGTAGCGAGCAAAAAGAACAGAATAAAGAGAAGGCCTGGCAGTTAATGGTATGGAGATTTTGTTTGAGCAGGTAATGTAGAGTTTGTAGGTCATTGTCAGAACTTTGGCTTCTACCCTGAATAAGTTGTAGATAACAGTAGATGTTTTGAGCAAAGGAGAGCCATGTTTTAATGAAACATTTCTGGCTACTATATTAAGAATACATTGAAAAGAGAGCAAAGGACTTAAAAAAAAAGAGAAAAAACAGGAGGTTATTTTAGTAATGCATTTGAGAGATGATAGTAGTTTGAGCAAACATAAGAGAGGCAGAGGAGTAAAGTTGTTAGCTTTAGGACCTATTTTGAAGATTAGATGAGGCATGAAAGAGTGGGAAAAAAACTTTAATGTTTTTGGCTTGAGCAGTATAGTTCTGCAATGTTAGGTTTGAAATGCCCATTTAGACATCCAAATAGTGATCAAAAGTAGGATTAGAGCTAGATATAAATTTAGACATTGACAGTTAATTTAAAGTTGTCAGACTGGATGAGGACATGTTCAGTCATAGAAGTAACTATACCTAGAAAAGAGAAGAAGTCAGAGAGATGAATAGGAGCCATCAAAGTAGCAAGAATAATTGTACAACAACTGGAATTGTAGTTTCCTGGAAGTCAGGCAAAAAAGTATTCAAAGAGCCAGGAGTGATAAATTATGTTATATGCTGCTCAGAGATAAAGTAATATTGGTTAATGTAGTATTGGTAAGAGGTGATTGGTAATCTTAGTAGAAGTATTAGTGAAATAGAGCTTGATTGGAAGGATTTTAGGAGAGAATGGGGGAAAAAGAAGTGGAGATAGCTATTTCTGCCAAACAAGGGTAGGGAATGTCTGGCTCATGAACTGTAGAGGCCAGCAAAATCATTTGATCTGGCCCTGCTAAGGCAACCACAGACGGGACTTGAAATTAAATAAATCTAGGACCTCTTTTCATAGAAACATATATTTACATTGAATCATAATAACTAATTTTGAGGGATAAGCAACCAGGTTCTTGGTAACACAACCTTGCATCAGTTAGGGCTTTCCAGGAAAACAGAGCCAATCCAAGATTTACATAACGGATAATAAAGAGATAGTACAGGAGATTTGGAAGCTAAAATTCTAAGGATTAGAAAGCTGGGACCAAGGAATCTGGTGAGGACTTAGAGTACAAAGTAGGTCAAGACCAATGTTCAGTAAAACCATTAAGCAGATTTCCATCGTCAATCTTTTTCATTCTTTTCTGTTATTCCTTGGTTAGATGTGGCCCACCCCCACTAGGGAGGGCGATCTGCTTATTAGTTTATCTATGCACATTTTAAGACTTGTTAGGACAAAGGTTTTAGGGATCTATTCTTGTCTTCCTCACAGTGAAAACTCTTAGCAGAGTGTTGCTCTCATATTGGGACTGACAGGCAGCCAAAGCAGTCTGCGATCCAGAGCATAGAGCTGAGGAGCTGAGCGCCTGGGCTCAGGTCTTGTAGGACCACTGTCTTGCCTGAGGCTTGAGTACATATCTGGGTCTGTTGCTCTGAGGCATACTCAGGCAGCTCTGGCCCAGGAGACTAGGATGTGTGGGTGCTTCTGATCTTGAGGGGCTGGGCACACACGACCATGGCTTCAGGGCTGAAGGAGTGGTGCCAGGGCTGGGACCCCGAGGGGCAGGGCACAGTGGCAATTCAGGTCTTCACACAGCACAGCCTCGAGCACTGTGGGATAAAGGGCCACACAGTGGTGACTGTGGACTCAGATGGTGGATCATGGCAGAACCAAGGCCGTGTAAGACCACACAGAGCAGCAGCCAGCTCCCAGGAACAGCATGAGGCTGCTTAGGAGTGGACCTGGGTGGGGGAGCAGTGCAGGCAGGACGTCACTCCCCAGCGAGGTGAGGTGCCTCAGCAGTAAATTCTGTGTAGGCTGTGGGAACAGGTAGGAGGGGGCATCTTCTCCCAGAGGCAGAGGAAGGTCTTGAGCTGAGGTCTTGATAGGGAATGAGGCCACTTTGGCCATTGGCAGCTGAAGATGATTAACCAGAGAAGGGCGCTGAAGTCTATTTATACATCATTTATTGCAGTTCCATTAAAAGAGTAGCTCTGCTAACGGGTCCTTAAGAGAAAAGGGGGATTTGATTGTGGGTATGGTGACGGGAGAGGCTCAAAGAGCAATGTGTGCATAGCTGTCAGAAGCCTGGTGGGGTTCCTTGGACTGGTTGCTTTGCCCAGTCTCCTGGCCAGAAGCCCAGAGTGCCTGCCCAGCAAAGGCAACAGTGTGTCAGCCCCCACATCTCCAACCAGGACCAGTCCCTGTGCATCTTCATGGCTCTGGGTGCCTGGCCCTCCCCAGGGCCTGTTCTGCAGGAGGACAGAGGCTATTTACCAGTTACTTCCAAGGAATTCAGGTCCTGACCTAGCTCCCGTGCCATTCCCCAAACAACAGAAAGAAACTTTGTAGGGATAAAGACCACACAGGTAGGTTAGGGCCTTCCCTTTAAAACCAATCGCTCAGGACCGCAGGGATGGCTTCAGTCCTGAGAGCGAGAACGCGGGCTTCTCCCTCCCGCTCATGCTCATCTCCTCCCTGTCCCCTCACCCACCCCCTACTGCCTGCAGCGGCCTTCCTAGGACCCCCACATGCGCTTCCTCCTGGGAGAAACTCGCGCCCTCCAAGGGGTCGGAGCGGAGCGTCGGAGCCCCGGGCAGGCCTGGCACCCAGAGACCGGGCAGCGACATTTTAGCACAGAAGAGAAGCATGGCATTCCCACTTGCTGTGTCCTGGAGCCCAGTCTGGGTAGGGAGAAGGCGCCGCGGTTTCGGCCCCGCCTGGGACTGCCTGGCGGGACTGCGTCAGAAGAACGGGTGGCGGAGGACGGAATCCGCAGATCGCTGGGAACAACACGCTCCCGGCCACTCGGGACCCACCGTGCTGGGCGTGGACGCCGTGTAGCCCCAGCCGGAAGGGGACGGAAGCGTGGAGCGGCGCCAATCTCACCTTTGCCGCCAGCTGCCAGGAGACTCTGGCAAGGCCTGGGAGATCTTTCAACCCAGAAGTCACCTGAGGACGTGAAGAGGTCAATTGCCAGGTCGCTGGGCCCTGGGCGGCGGGGCCAGGACCACAGACGTCAGCGGCGGGCGCAGCTGCATGGGCCGGCTCGGGGCGAACAGGAACCCGAGCTCGGCCACCTGATTCCGTGCATGGGCGATTTCCCTGAGGACCGGGCCGCTCTAGAATCCAGTTCCTGGACCCAGATCTCGGGTTGTGGAAGAGAGGGGGGGTCGCGGACGCGAGGTCCCAGGTGCGGCGGGCAGGAGGGACGCCGGCAGCCCGAGATCTGCGGAGCTGCCTTCCCGGGACAGGAGCGTCCTCTCCCCTAACGCAGAGACCGCAGTGGACACCAAGGCCCCTGCACCGTGGGCTCTGCCTTCGGGCTGGGCTCGCGGGGCACGCCCGGGGCTCCGGGGCGGGAGGAGTTGCAGAGCAGCGGCCCGAGGAGAAGGGGGCTCGGCCTCTCGGGACCGGGTTCCCTGACACTGAGCGCGGAGGGCCGGGTTCAGCAGAGAGCGCTCACTTGACACCTGGACACCAGCACGGGACTCTAGGCTCAGCCCAGGGCACGGAGGGCCTCGTGAGTCCCCGCTCCTCCTTGGACTCCTGTCTTGGATCCCTGTCCCACCCCTTTTCCCAGGGACACCCCAGGGCGCCGCCCCCCCCCCCCCCCCCGACTCGCCGTCGCTCTGCTACTCAGGCCTCTGCCGGGGAGAATGAGCTTGATCCACAGTGGAGTCGGCACAGGGAAGAGCTTTCCGGCCTCCTGGCGAATGTCCACCTGCAGGGCCTGAGTTTCCGCTCCCAGGTGAAGTTCCCGCCTCGACCCAGAACAGCGCCGTCCTCTTCCTTGCAGTTGCTCTCCCATTGCCCAGAGGGCGCTGTGAGTTTTGGAAGATTTGTGATTTACTGGAGTTGCCCTTTCTCCAACTTCTTTTCTTCCTCATCCCTCTCCATGGTCCACATCATCCTGGCCTTTTCTTCCACACTCACTTTAAAAATTATTTATCTACTTATTTTAAAGGCAGTGTTACAGAGAGAGGGAGAGAGAAGAGCTATCTTCCATTTGCTGGTTCATTCCCCGAATGCCCAGGAGACTCACTCCGAGGCTTCAGCCCACACCTGCAGC